AAGGGCACCTGAGGCTTAAGTCAAGTAAATGTGGATGCCTGGAGTAAATATTGTTTTGTAATCTATTAACTCCCATGTCACATAGCATAGTATCAATTGTCTTCCTGTGTCTATACAAAAAAGACACTGCTAAATAAATTATGCAAATGATATAAAGGGAAGAGAAAAGCAATATAGGATTATTAGTGATCAGTGAAATTGTGTGTGCCTCAGTTGAACTGTTGTGGGAATGGCTCAACAAACCTTAAGTCCCCTGGGGGAGGAGCAAGGTCAACCCAATGTTATCCAACACAGCATGATGCAGGAAAGCAGCATCCAAGCCACACTAGCAATGGCCACGTTAAAAAAAAACCAAAAAATACTTTTCTCACTGGATGAGACTGTCAAAGCCAGCAGTGGCAGTGTGGTCAGGGAGAGAGCAAGTAGTACACCCACCTAGTGTTCCATCTCATTCCTTTCTCTGTTCAATTCCCAGGAAAATGTTGGTCTTCCAGACAACAGTATAACTCTCCAGTGACAATAAAAATAAATGCTCTGTATTCTGAATATTGCTACCTGGAAGCCATACTCTTTACTGTGAATTCAAACGTATGTGTGGGTTGTGGGACATGTCTATTCGGTGAGTCTTGCTTCCAGAACTGCCTCCCAGAGCTGCCTTCCAACCTCCCCAGGACTCCCCAGCAGATAGACAGAGAGATGAGACATGGAGAACCACCGTCTGATCTTGAAAATGGCCCATTTAACGCAAAGCTGCTAGCATACTTATAGAACATCTGAGGGAGGTTGGGGTACAGGACCTAGGTGTGACTGATCATTTACATGGAAAAAACATCTCATATAGATCATTTACATAGATAAAACAGGAAATTCTCTTGGGGAGATTAACACAAGAAGACTCTCAGTCTCCCAGAGACATATACATTGCTCTTATATTTTCCTCTAGTTGTATATTTTATCAATACTTGCAGTTGTTCAGATAAGTACAGTAAGAAACAAAGATCCCAACACTTACTTATCTGTGCTCTGAAAGTAAGTGCAGCTTTTACTGGAAATCCTAGACTAAGACTCCTCAGGCCAGTTCAGCTTGTCTTTACCCACAAGGGTCCTGTCTCTTAAGTCATAACAGCTTGCATCAAGACCATGCATTGATGCTTTCTAGACTGTCCCATTTCTGATGCTGGGGTAAGCTTTGCCTCTCGCCTTGGGTTCATCCCAGTCCCATGGCGAGACACCTCCTTTTTAGGGTATTAGAACTCCAGTAACTGAAGCCTGAGTCAGGTAATTATGACGAATGCCCAGAAGTAGATCTATTTCTGAATCAGTCAACTCACAAATATTAGGAGCATAACATTATTGGTCTTTCTGTGTTTAACCAAAGAACAATGTTCTATACTAAAATATAAAAAGGCTATAGGGTAAAAAGAAAAGCAGTTACAAATATACAGCACTTCAGAATTACCAGAAAGTTTTGGCTTATAAATAATCAGGTTTGACTCAGGGAATTGTGACAATGAGAGGTAAAATATAAAGGAAAGATTAAAGATAAACTTTAACTAAATTAAGGATGCTAGCTGAGCACGATAAATTTCTCTGGAAGAAGGAAAAGGGGCTATTTATTGATGAAGCTGAAAACACTTTGGGTTAATATCCAAAAGCTGGAAGTCATACTCTTTACCATCCAGAAGTTTGAGAACACTAATGTTTTCTTAAGAATGGGATTCTTTTCTACCTCCCCTAGACAATATGATGAAGGTCTCCTGCAGTCAAATAATGTTGCTCACATAAGTACCGACTAATTTCTTTCTAGATGACTTTTTAGGGCCACAAAAAAACAGGCTTTTATAGATGTCTCTACTGTGAGGGTCACGGTCATGGTCACGGTCCTCCTGTTGTTCTTCGATTTGCTCTAGCGGGCCCAGTAACGTCTCCATCGTGAGACTTGTTGTTACTGTGTTTGGCATATTGAATACGTCAAATTACAAGAAAGTGGGACCATAACGGTGCTGGGAAAGGCTAGGCATGGCTTCCAAAAGATTTCAGAAATGGGTAGGTGTCACCAGCTATGCCTGGGAAATGTCTCAGGTGTCACCTCTTCCCATAATGGATCAGCATTTTCTCAGAAACTTGAATAGTCCTGCCATTTGATTCTTTTATGAAAAATCAAAAGGTACGAAGACATTCATTGCCATCTTATTGTTCAACAAATGAATTTAAGAATATTGTCTTGGAAATTTGTTTTTTCTCTCATATGTCAGGGTTTTAGTAAAATATCTACCGTGACTATGTTTTTTTAAGAATAGGTGCCATCATTATGTTGCAAATTTACCCCACAATAACTATTTATACAACATACTGTGTTTCTGTGTTATGATATAGCCAGTCTTCCTCTGAAATCTCATAATCAATCAGACACTCATATTTCAATTAACAAATATGTGCTTACCATTTTTAAAAATAACAGGGGCTGGAGCGATGGCTCTGCAGGTAGGACATTAGCCAAGCACGTGGTAGACCCATATTCAATTCTCAACACCCCATATGGTCCCCTGAAAACCGCTACCAGTAACTCCTAAGTGCAGAGCCAGGAGTAAACCCTGTGCATCGCCGGGTGTGACCCCAAAAGAAAAACCTGAAAACTCATTGTCATTCATGACATTTATCAATATTTATAACAATTCTGTAAGAATTATTCTATTTTAAAAACTCAGAGACTATAAAATCCAGATCCCGGACGAGAGCAGTGCAGTCTCTGCCCCCGCGCCTGGGTGTTCCTTCCCGGAGTCCCTTGGAGGGGAGCGGGTTGAGCTTTCCTCCCCGCCCCGACCAGGGCTACGGCAGCCGAAGACCTCCAGGACCAGCCACCACCATGCTGAGACCACTCTCTGCACCCATGAAGGTACTGGCAGAGGGACACAGCCACGCGGGTTCCGGGGCCGAGACCTCCACGCCTACTCGAATTGGAGTCGAGCATCTTCCACCCAGATCCTCCAAATTCCAGTAGGCGGGGGTCACATCCACCACCTGGCCCCCTGGCGCCGTGTAATCCCATCAGCGGCCAAGACTCAGAGACTATAAAATCCAGATCCCGGAACCGCGTGGCCGCATTTGCGGCCGCGCGACATCCTATTATCTCATTCCTACTTTGGACAAACTTGCAGGCTATGGAACATAGCCTGCCCACAGGGCAGAGTCTGGCAAACTCCCCGTGGCCTACCAAATATGCCAAATACCAGTAACAATGATGGGTCTCATTCTCCTAAAGAGCCGTGAATATAATCTCAGGGCTAGGATGAAAGAGACGTTACTGGGGCCTGCTCGAGGCAATCGATGATTAACAGGATGATGAAATGAAATGAAATGAAAAACTCTATGGTACTGTTTAAGGTAGAAAATTAGGGGATCTGGTAATTAGCTTTATAGAAATAATAAAATTTGAGAAAATTTTTCCAATTCAGAAACAGCCAACGAATGAAGGACACCTTCAGATGACAAGAGTTCTGAAGTTTCAAAATTGAGAAACATATGGTCCTACCCAGAGATGCATGGATCCCTTGAAAATGGGAATCTAAAGGATTTCATTATAATATAAAAGGACCATCAAGGGTGCATTTCTGTACTTGTGATAAAACTGAAATTAATGTCTGCACATGAAAGGAACTCTGAACCAAGACAATTTATAGAAATTGCACAGAACTAAGTAATAAAACTGTGGAGAACAGAATACAGGATCAGATTTGTTTTCCATAGAAACATAAGCTTTAAAAAAATAACCAGAAAGAGAGTAGAGAGAGAATCCACAAAGAGTTCAATTAATGACAAAATTGCATTGAGAATTTAGAAAAGATTAAAGGTGTGTAAAATTCAATCTGGCAGTGTTCTTGGGAAGTGCTGATCACATTTGGAAGTAGGAAACACCTGAGATTAATTCTAAGCATTCCCTAGCAGTAGCAGGAATCTCCTGGAATCCATGCCGAGACTTTCCCAGCATCATTATGATCTAATTTCTTGTATTTCAATTCAGTGCTCCAACCTCAAATCAACTATAAAAGTCTGGTGATTCCTGACTGAACTAGTTTTCAAGATCCCATCAATTCAGGTTAGTGGAATCTGAGACATGAGGATATACATGGCAGTGGATATATCTGACATGCTCAAGGCAGAGCTGATTCCAATTCTTGAGAATTCATTTACTCTAATACTCAGCATGGTGAAATAAAAGGCCTGAGAGATGGAATAGTCAGAACATTGACTGGATTTCTTTCCCTATAGAGAAAGATGCAAGTTAGGAAGATAAAATGATTTCTGGTCTGATGGAACGGAAAGGAAGTGTGATAGAGGGTCATCAACTTGTCTTCTGGATCATCAACTTGGTTACACTGTCATTCCTGTATTTTACAGTCTCAGGAATTCATACAGGATGCTCCCTTTCATTGCCATTCCCAGTGTTGCTTGGATACTGCTTCTGGCCTCATGCTGCACTACCAAGTAAAAGGTGAGTGATCCCAGTACTAGCTTGGGTGCATGGACCAATCAGAAGAGGGAGATAGAGTGAGCTCCTATGGGACATAGAATGTAGGGGAGGTGAATGGTGTCATGCAGAGTAGAGTCCACTTATAATATCTTCTATAACAAGTGCTGAGAGATATCACACTGGATAACAGATCAAAAGAAAAAAAAATCCTGTTGATCAGAAGATGTAATTCTAGGAAAGAAACAAATTGAAAGCGGTAGTGAGTAAGTAGCAATGTCTTTAGACTATAGGCCAAGCACAAGGAAACTCCTATTATCTTCAAAAAAGAGTACATAGAAGAATACATGGTTTCCATGAAGTGAGCCTTGGTTCAAGTGAATATATTTTGAACTCCCAGGGCACTAGTGATTTTATCATGAGTTAGGGACATGTGTCCATAAACAAACCTTGTGAATACCAATGTATACCATGGTCCAACAGTCATCCCTATTCCTTTCATTCTTAAGAATTTTTAATGATTCTACTCCAGGGAAAGACCTGCAGAAGGAAAAGCTGTCACCAAGGATCAGTTGCCCCCAAGGCTCCGTGGCCTATGGCTCCCGCTGCTATGCCTTGTTTCTGTCACCCAAATCCTAAGCAAATGCAGAGATAAGATTGACAAAGAGGATACATGAGAAGTATGATGCCTCAGACTGAGGACTCCCATTGATTAGCATCCTTGAGAGTTAGAATGACATATTAGCACACCTCCACCCATGGGCATTTCACAGGGTCCTCTGAAGCTTCTTCCTGTGTCTGCCTTCCTCTCACAGATGGCATGCCAGAAGAGGTCCCAAGGACACCTGGTGTCTGTGCTCACTCACTGCTTCTGAAGCTTACTTTGTGGCCTCCATGATCAGGAACACAGGGACGAAGCACGAGAACATCTAGATGGGACTCTATAACACTGCTGAGGTAGATGACTTCTCACCTCTGAACACTTTAGGACACATTGATACTCAGGACAATCTCCATTCTTTCTCTGCCCAGTAGTAGAATCATCAGGCAGTGGGAATTACAATACCAGAGAGGGTTTTGAAGAATATGTCATGCGGCCATCTGAAGATCTGAGCCCTGTAGGGCAGGCTCTTCAATCACTAATGTCATTCTCCCTATGCAATGTGTCAAAGATCTTGTTTGCAAACTACCTCACGAACTTTGTGAACATTTCATGCTGGTGAATCATAAGTAATATGCCTTCAGGCATAGTCTTTACTGCCTCTGCAGGTTTAATCTTGATAACTATTGTGGCATCCCAACTGTTCAATCGTGATATTCTGTTCAGGGTCTTCTTCACTTGCATTGTAAAAATCAGAGGTGAGCTTGGAAAGCATGACTACCGTAATTTCTAGGTCTGTATCCTCAGGTGAAGACCAAATCTCCTTAGTGTAGAGAGGAATAGGGTATTCTGCTCATGTTTTACTAATGAGAACTTAGTGACTAGTCATCCCTTACGTGTCTCTCTCTGCTTCATGCCACAGGACCTTCAACCCAATGGAGGCAGCTGGGAGTGGAGCAACAATGATGTACCTAATTACCTGGCTTGGGAGAAAAATACTCCAGGCTATCCCAACCCAGGCTACTGTGGGAGCCTTTCAGCAACCTCAAGTAAGGAAGGCAGGAGCTTTTTACTCTGTCCCTCATTTCCTATTTTCTCATTGAAGTTCAAAATATTCTTGATATGAGCGAAATCCAGGTTCATTTCTTTGCTCTCATGCCATGCTCTTCTTTCTTGACTGAGTTTCTTTTCCTATGTATAGGCCAAAGAGATAAAGGGGCATGAAATGGGCACATACTGGATGACTCTTTCGTATTGACTTGTACCTGCAGTACTTACATCTACCTTCTCTCTTTCCAGATTATGAACAATGGAGAGATTATGACTGTAGAAAAGAGTTACACTATGTCTGTAAATTCCAGGGTTGATTCAGAGTTAGAGTCGCTCTTTCCCCTAGAATGAGTATTATCATTAACAAGGAACAGAGCCTCAAGATTGCTCCTGCAAAGAAAGAGGCTCCAGAAATCTTTTGGAAGATAGAATTCAGACATATATCCAAACATATTGTTTTACTTTGATTGTTCTTCCATATGTAAGTCACCCCGTCTTCCACAATTGTTAATTCTCGATAATAAAATTTTATGGGAAAAGACTTTCATTGTCAATGCCTTCTATACCCATTCTCTTTAGTGTATATGTCTTTCATATAGAGCAAAACACCTTTTAAAGAGTGATAAAATCATGAAAAAATCTATTTTCATTTTATTGGGCTGGAGTAATATCACAACAGGTAGGGCCTTGCACATGGCTGACCCAAGTTCCATTCCTCAGTCCCTCTCGGAGAGTCCAGAAGCTAATGAGAGTATCCTGCCTGCACGGGGAAGCCTGGCAAGCTACCCATGATATATTTAATATGCTAAAAACAGTAACAAGTTTCACAATGGAGACAGTACTGGTGCCCGCCCGAAGTATTTGATGAACAACAGGAGGAGAGTGGACTTGTCAGTGCATTTTATTAGGATTCCTTTTCATAGAACTATCTAATTCTAATTATAACATGTGTCAATTGGTATCAGTTTTGGGGAATGATGCCCAAACTTCTAGCATGTCAGTCCTTACCTACACTCATGTCTCGCCAGATGAAGAGCTCAGAGGATCATGTGGTATCAGGGATCGAGCTCAGGAATCCTAAATGCACAGTATGATCTCAGCCCTCTGAGGTGCCTCTGGGAGGGAACCATTACTTTCGTCCTCATATGATTGAAAGTGATACAAAGAGAAATATTTGTTGGGATTTGGAAATGGAAATGAACGATGATAAAGTCTATCTACCATTTGGGTGAGGAGACACAAATTGGGACGGGGGTTAATGTGCTTTTGAGAGGCAAGAAAAGAACCATAACAAACTGTTCTTCAGTGATACATTTTAGTAAATTTAGGTGTCAAACATAAAACCTAAAAGTTGGGGAAATTATGTTATGAATTTTTCTTAAAATGATACAAAATTTATTAGCATTTTCAGAAAATTTCTTGAGGGCTGGAGCAATAATACAGTGGGTAGGTCATTTGCCTTGCATGCGGCTGACATGGGTTCAATCCCCGGCATTATATATGCTCCCCCAACCACCACCAGGAGTAGTTTCTGAGTGCAGAGTCATAAGTAACCCCTGAGCATTGACTGGTATGACCCAAAAAGTAAAAAAAAAAATTTTCTTGAAAAGTAAGCAGAACTTTACATGTAGTACAATAAGCAATAAACAAAATGGAAGTCACGATTAACAAATATATGCAATGCAGCAAAATATTGCTTAGATTGAATTGTGCACTAGATTGTCATAGAGAAATAATGAAGTTTCAAACAAGTATTTTAAGCTCTCTAGAGAAGAAAATGAAAGTTCCAAAATTCATAAAAAATAGAATGATAGATGAATGAAATTTTTTTTAAAAAGTAAATTAAAAAATTTATAAAGCAAAGGAAAGAAACTAAGCAATGATTTCTTAAAATTGAAATAATCACAAAATTTAAAAAAAAATTAATGAATCACCGTAGGGTACAGTTAGAGACTTACAAATTTTCGTGCTTATATTTCTGTTATACAATGATGGAGGGCCCATCCCTCCACCAGTGCCTGTTCTCCACCACCAATGTTACCAGTATCTATCCCATCCCCCTTTTTCCCCTCCCCATTCCTCCCTCCGCATCTGTGACAGGCATATTCTCTTTTATTCTCTCTCTCCTTTAGGGTGTTGTGTTCTGCAATGTAAGTATTGAATGGCCATCATGTTTGGTCTATAGTCTACTTTTGGCACGCATCTCCCATCCCAAGCAGGTCCTCTAACTATCTTTTACTAGCTGAGCTAGGTCCCTTGTCTAGCTGAGCTGCCTTTTTCCCCAGCATGTGAGGCTGGCTTCCAAGTCATGCAGCATTCCTCATGGTACTTATCTCTACTATCCTTGGATGTTAATCTCCCATTATGTTACTTTATATTCCACAGATGAGTGCAATCTTTCTATGTCTGTCCCTCTCTTTCTGACTCATTTCACTTATCAAGATATTTTGCATATGAACCACTTATATGCAAATTTCATGACTATCTTTTCTAACAGCTGCATAGTATTCCATTGTGTAGATGTACCAAGTTTCTTTAACCAGTCATCTGTTCTTGACTACTCATGTTTTTCCACATTCTGGATATTGTAAACAGTGCTGCAATGAATATACAAGTGCAGATGTCATTTCAACTATATTGTTTGGAATCTCCTGGATATATTCCCAGAAGTGGTATTGCTGGGTCAAATGGGAGCTGAATTTCTAATTTTTTGAGAAGTGTCCATACTGTTTTCCAAAAGGGCTGAACCAGTTGGCATTCCCACCAGCAGTGAAGAAGAGTCTCTTTTTCCCTACATCCACCCCACCACTGGTTGCTTTTGTTCTTTTGGATGTGAGCCAGTCTCTGTTATGTGAAATGATAATATCTCATTGTTGTTTTGATCTGCATCTCCCTGATGATTAGTAATCAGGAAATTTTTTTACTGAACTTACAAAGAAGAAATGAAGAGCTTAGAAACAGAACCAAAAATTCAAGGAAGAAATTATAAGATATTTTAGGAAAATACCAAGGATTTTAAAATATACCATGAACAAAGCACACCAACAATTTGAGAAATGAGATTTAGAAGGTCGGAAATGATAGTGCAACAGGTAGGATGCTTGCCTTTCAAGCTATCCATCAATGCAATCTTAGTCCCTGGCACCAGTATAGTCCCCTGCGCCCTACATGAATGATCCCTGACTACGGGATGAGGAGTTAGCCCTGAGAACTGAAGGATGTTCCCCCAAAAGTGAAAGAGATCAATATTTAAAAAACTCAAATTGTTAAATATGAATCAATTAAGAAATAACCTCAGCAAACCATAATCAACTGATTTCAAGTGTAAAGATTGAAATAGCATTCAATAAAAAACTCTTAAAAACAAAAGTAATGGCTTTAACTGTAAATGTCAGTACTTTAAGCAAGATTCTTTACACCCTCAAAGTCTCACAGATGCAAGAACACCAAATACGTGTTATAAAGTCAATGCCAGATGAAAACCGCATGAGAATTGAGAATTGAGCTGAGTGGCTCATTAAAAGATTTGTGTACAAAGGTCTGTTGCAGGGATGAAGCAGAGTGCTCAGAGGTCATGAACTGATGCTTCATGTCACAGGCTCTAAGTTATATCTCCCAACATAGCAAGACCCCACAGACACATGTGTGTGTGTATCCCTCAAGGCCCACAGCACCTGATATGGTCCTGAGGCCCTCAGCTCCACGGAAATGCAGCAGTGCTGCATTTCCAGGCATGATATTACAATGTCTAATCCAATTTTCTAAGTTGCTTTGGTGAGCACTATTTTGGGAGCTGTTGTCCTCATCCATTGTAATGATATCTCATATGTACAGGCAAATATTTAGTGAGACGATGAGGAAATTTAAGAATCTATGTCTATTATGCTTGCAATACATGTATAATGACAACTCGAATATGGCAAATGACATAGAATAAGGCATTTTCTGATGCAAAATATATTTTGAGTTCTTTATATATTTTTGGGTT